TTCTGACCCATCTCAGTCCCTACTCATGGCTGAGTGTCCTCACCCCCATCATCTTGTCTCCGACTTACCCAGGGAGAGCATCGGATTGGCCTCGTGTGGGCCATGTGTCTATGCCTTGGCAGAGGAGGGGGCCACCTCATTCGACAATCCCACTGAGACTGACTATGCTCAGGAGGGGATGTGTCCTCCCAAAGAGGCTCTGTCATGAGAGGAGGGGGCAGGCGAAAACGACAGAAGTCCACGACAGGGGAGGTCTTCCAACGAGTTGAAAGTGCCTTTCAGCGCCCCCATTCCAGGCGCTGGGCTCAACTCTTTCCGCCGTGGGCCCTGTTTGCAAAGTCTTTTATACCCTTGGCTTTCCTCGCAAAGTTTTCAGCAGCTTGAGAGCCAGTGCTGGGCCCCAGACACACTTTGTGAGTGTGATCGGAGCCTCCACAGGCCACCTGCAAACACCAGCAGCCTGGAACACAGGGTCTGGGCTCAGATTGCCCGGGTCAGTCCTAGCCTGGTAATGTGCCGGCTCTGTGGCCTTGAGCAACTGGCTTCACCTTTCGATGCCTCAGTTTTCCCATCTGTAAAATGGTAAAATAATAGTACCTACTTTGTTAGGTTGTTTTGAAGATTGAAAAACCTCCTGTGCTGGGGCTGGCCCTGTGGCCGAGTGGTTGGGTTCATGTGCTCCACTTCAGCAGCCCAGCATTTCGCCATTTGGATCCTGGGCATGGACCTAGCACTGCTCATTAAGCCATGCTGGGGCAGTGTCCCACATAGCTCAACTAGAAGGATCTGCAATTAGAATATACAACTATGTACTATGCACTGGAGGCTTTGGGGAGAAGAAGAAGAAAAAAAAGTTTGGCAACAGATGTTAGCTCAGGTGTCAATCTTTAAAAAAAAGAAAACAACCTACTGTGATTATGCTCACAACCAACCTATTGCACATGGGGAAAAGGCAGCGTTTCTGGGCCCATCAGCCCCAAAATAGAGCACACACCCAGTATACAGAACTCGAGCTAGACTGCAACCTCTACTTGCATCCTGAGCCAGGCAGCCTTGTGGGTAGCCTCCACAACTGTGCACAGCAGCCCTGCCTATGCGGCACTATCACTATTTCCCCATCCTCCAGATAAGGCATCTGTGGCTTAGAGAAGTTGAGTACCGTGTGGTAACGGGGTGGCAGAATCACTTCCAGCTTGCCTATTTATTTAGGACGCACCAAAGAGGCTAACAACCGCCTGTGTTGTAGGCCACATCCCTTTGTCACCAGCTCATCAGCTTACACTTTATACGTCTTCTACAGTGGACAGCAACCAAATGCATCTCCAGCACCTAATCCTAATTAGAGACAATCACTAATCTCTAATCTATTACTTTGATAATCATTTAAAAAACTAAGACTTGTTATTTTGAAAGAATTGAGGAGAAAAGTGGAAGGAAGGACACATTTCTAGCCAGGTACCATTCTGACTTGTCAATTATTTTATCATTTCAGCAGTCCACTCAAAGACAAGGGCTAAAAGCATTGTGGGTGTGAGTGACTCCTTCTGGAGCTGAAAGATCAGTGTTACCAACAGATAGCTCAATATTTTGCAAAGCAGGTTCCCACTTCAGTGCTTTTTCCTCTTCTTTCTCATGTTCCAGGAGCAATACATGTGGCTGGGTGGATGAGGGGAGGGCAGATTAACTAAGGTGCCCACTTCTCATTTCCAAACCCTTCTTCCCTTCTTCCCCTGATGGACAGGCAGCAGCCATTGCCCACTGTGCCTCATTTAAAATTGTGATTTGGCTGTGTCATATCACTGTACATGGGGAGAGCAAGGAATTATATGCTGGGCATATATACTGAGTATATTTGTGTGTCTTCTTTGTGAACCTGCATTTTAAGCAGACTATCCACTTTCAAAGACGGATCACTGAGTGAATTGAGGTACAATCAGAGAATTGATCTGTTCACAGAACGCTGAATATAATTTGTGAGTGTTGCTGTTATGTCTCTGATTTAACTGTTCATCTAAGCTTATGTCTTGAATGGTGACATCTCAAGGTGTGGTTCAGATCTGAAACAGCTGCAGCAGAGCCAGCCGCCTTGGACAGTGTCAATGTCCCCCAACGACTTGAAGTAAATTAGCGCATATTGAAAGGGAAATTTCCTAAGGCTTGGAACCACCATTTTCCCAGCAAACTTCCCACCTGAGTGGGCCCCAGGGGACACCAAATGAAAGACGATGAAAAGAAATGGACTTGTCCCAGAGTCTCCAAAAGGCCAAATGCAGTCCGAGTGAGCTGAAATTATCTGCTCGAACAGGTCAGATATTTTAACACCAATTCTCAGGCCTCGGGAGTGAGCCTGGCTGCTGGCAGACCACCAACACTGTCTTTTAAAATTCTTAGATTCGGCTGTTAAATTTGGCCCAGTGAGAGTCTGTGTTTGATTGGATGTACGAGGGTGGAGGATTCCTCATGGGAAGGCCTGGGCTCGAGCTCAGTGACTTACCAGCTGTGTGACTTTGGACAAACCATTTCACCCCTGCCGAGAGTGTGCTCTTGTCTGCATAATGAAGGAAACAACCCTGCTCTGCTTGCCTCATGGGGAGTTTGAAGATCAAATGAGATGGTGTTTGGGAACTGTAGAAGCACTATGCAAATGACCGGCATAATTATGTTCACAGGCAGAACATCAAATCCTTTCTGCCTGGTTCACTTAATTCTCCATTTAATTTACATACGGTGGATTTCACCCCTTATTCCTGCAGCAAAACCCTTTGGAGAGCATCATTTTTAAACCTGAAATTGATATATGTGCAGTTACCCTATTTACCTCAGAGTCCTCTGAGATAAGGAAAAGACTGGAATTATGAGGAAAAATAGACCCAGAGGGATGTTAGCCCAAGGGCAAAAAGAATTCCCATCCTGATAGTCTTTTTTTCCTAGATGACACTGGCATCTAAATGCAAAGCCAAAGATTCTCATCAAAAGTTAGGCTCACTGGGCCAGCCCCGGGGCCAGTGGTTAAGTTCGTGCACTTTGCTTCAGCGGCCTGGGGTTCGCTGGTTCGGATCCTGGGCGCGGACCTAACGCCGCCGCTCATCAGTCCATGCTGTGGTGGCATCCCACATAGAAGAACTAGAATGACTGAGAACTAGGGTATATAACTATGCACTGGGGCTTTGGGGAGGAAAAAAAAAAGATTGGCAACAGATGTTAGCTCAGGGCCATCTTCCTCACACATACAGCAAAAGAAAAAGAAGAAGAGGTAAAACTGTATAATAGTTTGCTTTTAAAAAAAAAAAATGTTAGGCTCGCAGTTCCCTGCATTTTCCCCTTCTCCTCTGCATCTTCTCCCTCTGGATGAAAGTGCCGAGTCTGTGTGTCGCTGCCCTGAGCCGTCCCCGGCACAACGCCTAGTACCGCTAAGCGCTGGGCATACAATGTACATTTGGTAAATATTTCTAATAGAGGAAAATACAAATGGCGCTCTCGAACTGCTCTCATCATCCTAAATTTCTGAAACTGCAGATGGAGAAACATGTTTATCATATTTCCACGAGTCTGAGATGCCATTGCTTCTAAGACACACCATTTTTTATGTCCCACAAAGAAAGGAAAAGCTCTATCAGTTAAAATAGGACACAACGCATCCTTATTGTGTCAATTATAAGCCACATCTTGATGTCACAGACGCTAAAATGTGAAAGAAATATGCACCTTAGAATAGTTGAAACGCGGCACATTTACCTGGCCTGAAAGGGAAAGCTTTCTCCTTTTGATTCCGATGCATTCTTAGATTAGCAAACTTCAAAACGGCCTCATTTTCAGTCTCCGCTCCTTGCCTTTATACATGTTGTGCAATCATGCTTTCCTGTGGGTTGAAGGAGGACACTAAATCTATTTTTCTTTTTTTTTTTTAAGATTTTATTTTTCCTTTTTTTCTCCCCAAAGCCCCCCGGTACATAGTTGTGTATTTTTAGTTGTGGGTCTTTCTAGTTGTGGCATGTGGGACACCACCTCAGCATGGCTTGATGAGTGGTGCCATGTCCGTACCCAGGATTCAAACCGGCGAAACCCTGGGCCGCAGAAGCGGAGCGCACGAACTTAACCACTTGGCTATGGGGCCGGCCCCTATTTTTCTTGTGGACATAATAATACAAAGTACTTCTGCACTCGAATATAGTTTTAGGTAAACGCCAATTGTAAAATACTTGTCAGAGCCCAAATGACATTCATTCTCTGGTCTGTTGTTTTTTACAAGATTTAAAAGAGTAAGAAATGTTTAAGGGTGTTTGGCACATCAATTGTGCTTTCTTTCTCCCAAGTAGTGCTTTGTACTCTTCTCATTGCTCTGTATAAGGCTGGGTTTGGCTGTTTTGTTGTTGTTACCTAGTTGAGTCTCAGTTCAGGTAAAGCAGTTGAACTGTGAATTTCTTGTTGCCCAGAGAAATTAGGCATGAACAGGCTCACGTGATGAGAACACATCACCTGCCTGGGCTAAATATGATGTTTTTAATAAAATGCAAGGTAGAATTTATAGTCTTTCTGGGCACAAGGGAGCATGAGGAACACAGGGAAAGAGAAACATTTTTTCTGTGACAATCCTTTGTAAAGATTTTCATGGACCAGTCCTTGCTCATAAATTCTACAGTTTGAGATAAAGAAAAACTCCATCTGTTTCTAGCCTGTTCTTTGGTTACCTTCACACATTTCTCTGATCAATCAGGACACTATTTATACACAATAGCAAGTAGAGTCACACACACACACAAGGATTTCTAAGGACTCAATGGTGTCCAGGTGGAGAGGAATGATCCAAATAATTGTAGCTCCCATATCTGCTTCATAACAATCATTTTGGCACCATGATCCCTGGCTCCCTGCCGGGGTTCCCTCCCGTCACTGTGTTGATGAGCGCTGGTAGCCATTGTGCTGGGCAGGAAGTAGGTGGGGAGCTGTTAATGTTTGATCGCTACTAATGCACGTTTTGCCTACTGTTCTCTCCCCTGCAGTCTGAGTACCACTATGAGTACACCGCGTGTGACAGCACAGGTTCCAGGTGGAGGGTCGCCGTGCCGCACACCCCGGGCCTATGCACCAGCCTCCCCGACCCCGTCAAGGGCACTGAGTGCTGTAAGTGGCCACCCTGCTTGGCTTCGGGCTCTGCCCCCAGCCTCCTGCCAGCCAAGCTAGGCCCCTCCTGAGCGTGCGGCTGCCTTAGGGAATCAGATCCTTCCCCCAGCTAGTCCCCATCCCCAAACCTTTCGAGATTTGGTGCAAGAATGTTATTTCGTGGATGCAAACTGGGTATCTGAATTTTCTTCTTTTTTTTTTTTAATGAAAATCCCATTGGGGTATAAAATATAAGTAATTCCAGCCGAGCACCAGTTAGATATTTTTTCTGTTTGCATACGGTTTCTTTTTTGCCTGTGCATTTCCCTCCAATCTGCACTCACCAGTCACAATCAGTCATTAGGAAAGATTGCTGTTTGCTCTCGTTTTGAAAAGGAAGCCAGAGTAGATGAATCTTTGCAGAGACAGACCCTTAAGATGTACTGGGCATCACGCCAGGGAACAAGAACCCTCCCCGACTATGGGGCTGACTGTGCAATCAGCAAGGCGGTGACTTGCCTGCAGCTCCCGTCCCCACCTCTGTGACTCTGTAGTCACAACTTTCCTGCCTTGGCAGCTATTTCTCCTGCACTGGTATTTTTAGAAATGCAAAAGGGGGTAACAATAAAAATCGAGGACTAGAATCGAGGAATGCTTGAAGATTTGGAAAGGAGATTGAGGGCATTCAAAATCTAAAATAAGCTTAGCATAGTGCCTGGTTCAGAAGGTATGCAGATAAATACTTGTTAAGTTAGTAACTGGATATTGCTAAGATTTGAGCAGAACTGAGGTGTGACTAACGGGAACAAACGAGCCATCTTCAGTTAGCTTGACCAACTTTATTGAGCACCCTGTGCACATGCTGTGTGAACCACAAAGATGAATAAGGCACAGTTTCTGCCTTCAGAAGCTTACAGTCTGGTGGAAGGAGCATTCATTCACTCATTCATTTTTTCAACAAAGCTTTATGGAGCTCCTGCTATGTCTGTGTCAATCACTGAGCCTCTGTCCCTGGAAAAGCTCAGAACCTAGAGGGAAGAACACATCAATATGATGTGTTAATATGAGGTTGAAAAAGAATGGGAGTTACGATGCTTGAGGGATCAGGAACAGCTGGGAGAACCCCTTGAGCAAAAGTTTGGAGGTGGAAGAGCACCAGACACATTCAGGGAAGAACAGCGGTCCAGAGTGGAAGGAACACAGGGAGGCTGACAGGTGGGGCTGGTGTGGAGAAAGGCCTGCAGTGAGAGATCAGGCTGGAAAGTTAGCTAGATCAGGGGGAAATATGGACGACTGAACGCAGGACTGAGAGCTTCATTCCATAACCAAGGGGGAGGGCCTGATTATTTTTTAAATAACAGGAATAATAGTACATATCGGTGTTTTAGAAGGATACCGCTGACCACAGAATGAGCAAAAATAGGAAACAGGAAACTAGTTAGGAGGACGTCGCAAGGGTGGAGCTAACAGGTCACGAGAATCCCGACAAGCATGGCGGCAGGAGAACCAGAAAGGAGGCGACAGAGGCCAGAGACTCAAGGGGGAAATTCAAGGCTGAAGGGCCGTGTGCCATTCAGAGGAGCCGGCTCCAGAGACCACCGTCTCCTCTTCTCTGGAGAGCTCTGCTAATGGCCAAGGCTGCTCCCTTAGGACACGAGACCACTGGGGACAAGCCCAAAGTCCTGCAGCAAGGCAGAGCTTCCATGGGCCTGCATCTTTTCTTTTTTTTCTTTTAAGTAATAGCTTTATTGAAATGTAACTTACGTGTTATAAAATTCGCCCCTTTAAGGTGTAAAATTCAGTGGTTTTTAGAATATTCACAGAGTTGCATAACCATTACCACTATCCAATCTCAGAACATTTTCATCACCCCAGAAAGAAGCCTCATATCCATTAGCCATCTCTCCTCATGTCCCCTCCCCCAAGTCCCTGGCACCATAAATCTCCTTTCTGTCTCTCTGGATTTGCCTGTTCTGGACATTCCAGGTAAATGGAATCATATGACATGCCACGGGTCTAAATCTTAGTGGATCAAACTCCTAGATCTCAATCCTCTGCTCCTCCCCTTGGGATGCCCACAACCCACCCACTTCTCCTGGGACAGCAGCAGCCTCACCACCCAACCCTTGTCCCTGCTCTGTGTTCCAGCCTTCTCTTGCAAAGCCGGGGAGTTTCTGGACATGAAGGAGCAGTCTTGTAAGCCATGCGCCGAGGGTCGCTACTCCCTTGGCACAGGCATCCGGTTTGATGAGTGGGACGAGCTGCCCCATGGCTTTGCCACCATCTCAACCAACATGGAAATTGAAGACAGCACTACGGAGTCCACGGAGAACTGCACTTTGTAAGTCCTCCCACCCCCCATCTCCCAGCCTGGCCCCTCCCCGTGCTGGGGAAGGGGCTACAAAGAGCACGCCACAGCCTCCACTCCTGCCCCTCAGGCTGGGCAGGGAGGATGGAGAAGAGGGAGCCATGCTGCCAGGGTGAGGGCTGGAGCAGGTCCCCACAGACTGTTGGACCACCTCAGTCCACTCTTGCTGGCCTAAGCTTACCAGTGACTGACAGGCATGTGCAACAGGTGAAAAACACGGAGAAATAGAAGTGGACAAGATGCACAAAGGTTAAATAGCCCAGTCCATTTAAAACAAAATCCAATTGAATTTCCACCATGGAATTTCGGATCAGCCAATAAACTTCCTCAACTTGATTGCAACACAATGTGCAAAGCATTGGGTATCTTCCTGGCTCTGGTGCTAACTTCTAAAGATCTGCCAAACCTGAGTTTATAGGTTTAGGGAGATAGAATCAGACCGCAGCTTTGGTCAGTGGTGGCTGAGATCACCTTTGAGATCCTGGTGACCAGACAAATTTCCAGCTCAGAAGGAGATCTTTTCAGTAATTGAAAAGCTCTGCCCAGGTTGCTTGGAGAACCAGTGAGCTATCCTTATGAAACATTTTGATATTTAATTCCAGGGATAGGAATTAAATGATGTGCCGTCTATAGTTCAGGCACTATTCTGGATGCTTTACATCTATTATTTTCTATAATCCTCACAAGAACCCTATGAACTAGGCATTACTGTTCCCATTACACAGATGAGGAACTGGAGGCTCAGCGAGGTTAAGTGACTTGTCCTTTGTTACCCAGCTTACGACTGGTGATATTGGAATTCACAACCAGCCCCAAGCTTTCTACTGCCCCATGCTGCCACATTTGAATGACATATGGCATGTAAGGCAATATTGGGTCCTAGGGAGGAAAAGCATGGCGATACATAGACGTAAAAGACAATCGTCCACTGCTCTTTTTTAAATATCGACAATACAGGAGAAAAGTGTATGAAAGTTTCTCATATACCCAAGCAATCAAAGGTATAAAAAGGAGTTAATAATTGTATTACACTTGGATTTCTAAAACTGGGAGCAATGCCTTCCATTCCTGTACTTAAATCGCCTAGAACTACCATCGTCTGAGCCAGGCAGCAGGCATCCAATAGTCCAATTTTAATGTTATTTTAGAGTTCAATATTATGTATCCACATCATTAGCATGACAACATTGTTGGCAGAAAGGAAGCTAGAGAGGGTTAAAGCTGGAAGGAGAGGGAATGTGTGGGTTAAGAGGACCAACCCCCATTTGAGTCCTAATGGAGAATGAGATTGACCCGGGACAAGGTGCAGGTCCAGCTCACTCAACCAATTCCTACCCGCGCGAAGGAAGAGTTTCTCTCTCTCTGGAGACTGTACTCACAGTCCAGAAATCGTTATCTCTCAGCAAGGCGGGATGTGGGCCTGTAGGTTAATCACAACCTGTGTTTCCACCGCACAGACTGCCTCAGGGCCCGGATCTTAAGGCATCCCAGACATCCTTGGGAGGGGAGAAAGGATGTGTCTCCTCTGCAGAAATGGAGAGGAAATGGCCGCCTAGAGAGGTTTTGTGGTCTCCTCACAGCCCCTCAGGAAGGCAATAACTGAGCTGGTACCAAGATACCACGTGTCTGGCTTTCCTCTGCCGTGTATTTACCTGAATCCATGCCCATTGCCTCCAACCCAACGGGAAATAGAATGCATGGTCCAAGAGGGAGGGGATCAGGTGTGTCTTGTTCTTTGCTGTGTCTCCAGCATCTGACATCAGGCACAAAGTAGACATGGAATAAATAATTGGGAACAAAACAGGCCAACTGAATGGAGTTTCCATGGCAGGATCTCGAGTCTTCAGGGGCTCATCCTTGGTTTGCAGATAAATGTCCCAGGACTAAGGTGGTGAGGACAGTCCTCAGACCCAAGACTGGGATAAGCAAGAGGCAACAGAAGTGAAGAGGGAGTGATAGGAAGGACCTTGCATGTTAGTAGAGAAGAAAGGACAGAAGCCCCAAAACTGTGAAGGTGAAACAAGAATGAGAGAAAGACAGACGTCAACATTAAAAGGGTTTCAAACATTGGAAGCTTCTAAGTTTACCTGTACGGTTTCTTCTTTCTAACCAGAACTTATGAATCAGTGCCACACAGCGTGAGCTAGGCAGGGTGACTGAGTGGCTGCCATGTGAGAATTCTTCTTTGAAAACTTGCCTCCCTTTCCCCTGGGCCATGGTAAAACAAAGCAGGAATAAGCAGATCACAGCTGAATGACTGTGGGCAATTTCCCTCATCCTAAAAAGTGGTGATAAAAGTAACATTCCTGGGTCAGCTCTGGTGACCTAGTGATGAAGTTCAGCATGCTCCACTCCAGCGGCCTGGGGTTTGGTTCCTGGGCGCAGACCTATACTGTTCCGTTAGTGGCCATGCTGTGCTGGTGGCCCACATCCTAAGAAATAGAGGAAGATTGGCATGGATGTTAGCTCAGGGCAAATCTTCCTCGGCAAAAAAAAAAAAAAGTATTCTTTTTATAGGTCATGGTAAGGACTAAATGAGATGATACATGTAAGAATTTGGAGCCATGCCTGGCACTAGAATCAATCAAGACATGTTGTCATTATTGAATGTGAAATGATCTTCCCCAGGGATAGCTCCAACAAACATTGGAATTGTGATGCATTTTTCAAATGTAACCCATTTATGGCATCCTTTTAATTATTCATCCAGCCTTAGGAGTTATTTATAGCTGATGCCATGGAGCACATCAGCATCGTGTTGTCTCTTTCGACAGGAGAAATCAATAGCATTAGGTTGGCTGGGGTATCTTGGATGAGCTCAGCTTAGGTATTCTGGATATGCTTCCATTCGAGAATAACACTAACTGTTGAAGAGCTGGAAGTACCATATTATTCTGACAAACACAGGGGGAAACCAGTGGACTAATCTGAGGTTCTCTTTGTTGATCATTACTAATAATTGGTGACCTGGGATGGTCTCAAGCACAATCAGTGAGATTGTCTTTGGTCACCCGTTTCCTCCATTAACCTGTTTAATCCCCTGTCCCTCCTGTGTGCCAGGCCCAGGGCTTGGTGCTGAGGATACAATAGTGAGCAAGATTAGTTTGGTCTCTGCCCTCAGAGCATCTATAAACCAGCCAGGAAGACAGACAAATAAGAATTAAAGTATATTCAGAAGAGGAAATCAAATTGCAAATGAACTAAGAAAAGAAGTGCAACCTCACTAATAATCAAGGAAATAAGACTTAATGCCCAATGAGACACTAGCTGCTACCACATCATCTTGGCAACAATTTTAAAGTCTCGCTATTTCAGATTTGGGGAGGATGTGGAGCTACAGGAACTCTCTTACACTGCCGGTGGGTGTAAATTGATAGCAACCACTTTGGAGAACAGTGTGGCAGCAGCTGGTAAAGCTGGAGGTCACATTCCCTCTAACCCAGCAGGTCTGCTCCCATCCTTCCACTCAGACGTGCGTGTAAGCAGAGGAACAAGAATGTTCCCAACAGAGTGTGCACAATAGCAAAAAATTGGAAACAATCTAAATGTCCATCAACAAGTAATACGTAAATAAATAAGGTAGAACCACACAAAGCAATATTATATGGCGGTAAGCATGAAAGAAGAGCTTTGTGTTTGAATATGGATGAATCCTGCAATCACTATATTGAAGCCAAAAAAAAAGCAAGTTTCAGAATACATAAGTATGATACATTTACATGAGGTTTAAAACATGCAAAGCACTGTCATACAGTGTGTTGTTTAGAGAGACATGCATAATTAGTAAAGGACAGAGATTAAGCACCAAATTCAGGAACGCGGTTCCTTGGCTGTGGGGAAAGGAGTGTGTGATAGGAAGGGGGTTGGGCTTAGCTGGGGGTCCACCAAGGCTTCTGCTGTACCATATTTCTTAAGCAGCATGGTGGGTCTTAAATATTTCATGATATATTTAAATGAAATCGAGTAGGATTGTGTTACGAGAAGGCAAACAGAGCTAAGGGCCCCCGTAGCAGAGGCAGGTAAAGATTCAAGTGGGAAATTCTCAGATTAGGTGACATTTATTCTAAGACATGAGTAGGAATTAAACAGAGGGAGGGAGGCAGAAGTTTGTTCCCAGAAGAAGCAACAGCATGTGGGAAGACCCAGCGGTGAGAGAAGTTCAACAGAAATTCTGTAGGGCTGGAGTACAGAGAGTGGGTGAGGAGTTTGTGCCCAATCCTAAGGGCAACGGGGGGTCACAGGGGTTTTAAGCAGGAAAGTGGCGTGGTCAGAGTTTTGTTCTGGAGGGTCCCTCCAACTACACTATGGAAAAGGGGCTGGAGGAGGCAGGGCTGGATGCAGGCAGGCCAGTTAGGGGCCAGCTCAGAGCTGAGGAGGGGTGGGGGAGGAGTAGGGAATACCCTTGGGCAGAGCTGAGAGATATTAGGGCATAAAATCGATATGAATAGATTGATGGTCTCTGGGGTGGCCTTCCCCCTTCCCGTAAAATCCAGTTACATGTAGCATCTAAAAGTGTACATTTCCAGAAAAACAGGTAGACTAGACTGGATGGACTGCGAAGGTCTGAAAATAGCTGTATCTACTGACTTTCTTTGACAGCTTTGGAGTCAGGCAGACCTGGGTTTGAATCTCAGCCCCTGCCTCTTGCTGGCTGCGTGATATTGGGCAAGGTACTCACCAAGCCTCAGTTTCATCATCCATTAAATGGTGAAAAAAATAGTACTTCCTCTTACTGACGAAAAGAAATCATGAATATAAAACATGTAGTTCAATACCTGGGAGACAGTAAGCAACTAATAAATGTTATCCCCCCACCCCACCCTCACTTGCCCACTATCTGCTGGGCAGTTCTGCACAATGTGGGGGCGTGCCCACCTGTCTTCCTCTTGTTGCCTGTACCCCTAGGCTCCTTGATCTGAAGGCCATTTTTCACTGAGCATTTTCAGGTCCAAGCTTCTACTTGTGAATCACAAATCTGGATTTCCCCAGAGACCTAGCAGGACAGGAGAACTGCACATTGCACAAAGCCTGGTGGGCTGTGCCCCTGCCAGTGAACTTGGCTCCTGTTCCCTCGCAGGTCCAAGTGGGTTCCCCTGGGCGACTACATCTCCTCCAACACGGACGAATGCACGGCCACGCTGATGTACGCTGTCAACCTGAAGCAGTCCGGCACTGTCAACTTCGAGTACTACTACCCAGACTCCAGCATCATCTTTGAGTTTTTTGTAAGCCCTTGGCCAAGGCGGGAGGGGGGAAGTAAAGACTCCCCGAGGCTCAAGTTCATTTGCAGGAACCACAAGCGTAGTCCTGCTTGGGAAATTACCACGGTTGTTTTCGCTCTGGAGAGAACTGTGGGCAAAATGAGCTGAGGCTTCAAGACGCGAGGGGAGAGGCAGAAGTCAAGGACTCTGGGGGAGAAGAGTTGAGTCTGGCAGATGTCTTGGTGTTTTGCCCTGCTCAGACATGCAAACAGCGTATAACGGCTTCTGAGTTGCTCATTAGTTCTTTGGTGTTAATGCACTGATGTTTTGTGTGTGTGACTAGCCCCAACCCCGCCTCAGGGCTCATGAGTTCTGAGCTCAGATGCTAAAAGAAATTGGCAAGGGCCCTCTGGAGGGCTGCTGCAGTGTGGGGTAAGGAACACATTTTCTTAGAAAGCTGAGACTATGATCCCTACCTCCTGCTGCCTCAGGTCCAGAATGACCAGTGCCAGCCCAGTGCAGATGACTCCAGGTGGATGAAGACCACAGAGAAAGGATGGGAATTCCACAGTGTGAGTATCATCCCAGCCTTCCCTTAACCTTTGCTGGAGAGACCAGCCTTTCCTAGAAATCCCAGAAAAGGCACTGAGGATCTTTCCTCCAAGAAGTGCTTCCTCCCTGTCTGGGCTTCCACCCCTCTGTCCCTAGAAGGTAGGGGTCTGATGTGAGGAGGACACTATAGTTTCTCTCCTCTTGAATTGACAGAATACGGGCAAGGACTGACTTGTTGCTCCTACGACTTGACCCCAAGGACCAGCTGCTTTCCAGCTTTAAGGGCTGGGTCTCCTGGGGATGGGCCATGGATAACTAGAACCAGAGAAGAATGAGGAAGTTCCAGTCACCCTATTATCAGTGCCTTCAGGCCCCTTCATTGGTCTCGCCCTTTTGAGATGCTCGTGGTATATGCGACTGAGGGAGAAGTGGGGGGAGAGGGCATGACAAGGTTCTAGGACGAGGCTTAAGAGGAGAGGGGAGCTTAGTCAAGATGGGAGGAAGGGCAAAGCTGAAGAAGCTGAGGGAGAGGGTCCGAAGAGACACTGTCGTGCAGACTGTAAGAGGAGGGGTCCCAACAAGAGGCTAATCCAGCGGATTAGGGAATGTCTGTTTCTGCGGCTGAACTAACTCTTGCTGTTTGTGGTTTTTAGGTGGAGCTAAATCGAGGCAATAATGTCCTCTACTGGAGAACCACGGCCTTCTCAGTGTGGTCCAAAGTGTCCAAGCCTGTGCTGGTGAGAAACATCGCCATAACAGGTACCGAGAGTGGGGCTGGGTCTGGGGTCTGTTGCTGACGGCTGGGCCTCGTGACTCTGCAGGGAGGGTGGGGGTCAGTCCCCAGGGGGCTCAGTCATTGCTTTTCTATGTTGATCTCCCTCCCTAGGGGTGGCCTACACTTCAGAATGCTTCCCCTGCAAACCCGGCACATACGCAGACCAGCAGGGCTCCTCCTTCTGCAAACTTTGCCCAGTCAACACTTATTCAAACAAGGGAGAAACTTCTTGCCACCAGTGTGACCCTGACAAATATTCAGGTGATGTGTGTGAAGGTGGGAAGAGTTTGGTGGGGTGGGTACCAACAAACACACAGGGAAAAACAGGAAGTGGAGCTGTCCTTCTGGCCATGCTGAAGATGGAAACTCTCAAACCCTTGCTTTCCAGGCCTGGGAGGAGCCTTGCCAATCCACACTTCACCAATCACTCTTGAAATGAAATCATTCAATATTTACTGAGCCTCTGCTATTTGCCAGGCCCTAGTCTAGGTGCTTGGAATACATCAGTGAACAAAACAGACAAAGGTCCCTGTCTTCCAGGGTGGATGGAATCTACATCCTGGAGATGGGGGTGGGGAGACGGACATAGGCAATAAAAAAGTAACTAGAATAAATATAGAATCCATTATATAGTACATTGGACAGTAAAAAGTGCACGCTGCCCTGGCAAAAAGGAAAAAGCAGCTCAAGGTCAGAGGGACTGGGAAAGTTAGGGAAAGGGGTTGCAATCTTTTTTTATTTTTAAGCAGTGAAATCTTTTTTATGAAATTTTTATATAAGATTATAATTAGAAATAATAGATACAGTAGATACGATATACATTTACATATTTTAATTTATAACAATTATTATCAAAGTTAATTCAAAACAGCCATGAGGCTGTATTGATGAGCAAAACCTTTTGATAGCAAGGGCTTAAGATGGAAGTTACGGGGCTGGCCAGGTGGCGCAGCAGTTAAGTGCACATGTTCCACTTTGGCGGCCCGGGGTTCACCGGTTCTGATCTCGGGTGCGGACATGGCACCGCTTGGCGAGTCATGCTGTGGTAGGCGTCCCACATAGAAAGTAGAGGAAGATGGGCACGGATGTTAGCTCAGGGCCAGTCTTCCTCAGCAAAAAGAGGAGGATTGGCAGCAGTTAGCTCGAGGGCTAATCTTCCTCAAAAAAAAAAAAAAAGAAGAATGGAAGTTACAATCATTTATTAGCCTGAACATCCACTGAATTCCAAGCAGGCCTTTTAAGGAAATCCAGGGTTCCCTGGAACACAGTTGAAAAACCACTGCTTTAAGGGAAAATAAGAGGACAGCTGGAAGCAGCCTATTTCTACCTTCCCTGCACAGCTGTCTAAAGCACCCCAACAAGAGAAACAGGGAGCAGGGCTCTGCTGTAAGATGGGCAGGGTCCCCAGAGGGCCCTCTGCCCAGGTAGTCCAGTGGTTGGCACAGGGGCCAATCTCCAAGACAGGTTTGGAACAACCAAGTAGGGAGAGAAAAGGGTCCCTTCTCTTCCCCTGCAAATAATCATAACTGTTCCATTTTTCCTTTTTCACACAAAACCATATACAAATCCAGTTCAAGTCCTCTCTCAATCAGAGCCCGGTCCCCCCACATGGACACACCCACTCCTCACACAGGTCTTACAGTGTGTGTTTGCTCAGCTAAGACCATTGACCTTGTGAACTGCTTATTTTCACACTATTTCTAAAACAAAAGTCCTATTTATCTACACAGATCTTGTGCCAAATGAGCATAGTTTTCAGCAAGAACAGGAATGTTTAGATCTTGGAGGAAGTTTTTATCTGTAAGTCTAAATTCCTGCCTTTCCACTTGAATTTCTTATTCCTCTTCCCTGCTCTATCAATGGCAGCCTTTGTTCCTCCCTTTCCCGCCCAGCAGTTGTACAAGGGTTTGAATGGCAAGGTGGTTCCAGAAAAACTGCCTAGGAGTGTTTGATTAACTCTACGTAAACTGCTTTTTATCCAGAGAGCTGTTTGAAAGTGTTAGGTTGGTAGTCTGGATTCCTGGAGTCCATTCTCCTTCTGCCACCAATTTCTCAATCCACCCCTTTAACTAGGAAGTGAGTTTTTACTATGAAGAACATGGTCAGTTTGTTGACCACGTCACCAGCTTGGGCTACAAAGAGAGTTGCATTGCTTTGGGACTTGACTCTTCTGGAATACAGAGTCAGTGGGAGGCTGGGAAAATGCAGAGAGAGTCTAATGAAAGTCTAGATGGAATGTGCGTGAAGGGAGTGACGGAGGCCCTGGGACCATGTAGCCACTCATTTACAAATGAATTCCGAGTGCCTGCCAGGTGCCAGGGCTTGGGCTTGGCGCTAGGGTTAGAGTTGGTGCCTGCCCTCCAGCTTATGTCAAAAAGTGGAAACATGGTCATAGAAACACCTAAGTGTAGTAAGTCCAAGGTGCAATGGGAGCTGGGATAGGAATGCTGAGTGTAGTGGTCAGTAGAGGCGAAAATGGGAAGTGGTCTGTCCTCTCTGGGGAGGGAGGGAGGAAAGTCTTCACTAGCTGTGGTCTTGAAAGATGAGCTGAATCTTGAAAGATGAGTTGGTGATTCGATGGGGGAGGATGTTCTGGAAGAAGTATGAGTCAAAGCCAAAGGCTCAGGGATCTTGGAGTAGCTTGGCCTGGCTGGGGCTTACCTGGAGAGAAGATAATACAAGGCTAAGAGGTGGGGAGGGAACAGATTATGGATGGTCCTTCTGTGCCATTGCTAGAAAACTGGGATTTGATCCTATCAGCAGTGGAGGCCATTAAAGAATTTTAAGCTGGGGAGTGACACGATTTGGCTTGTGCTTTTGAAAGACCACTCTGGCTGTCATGTGGAAAATGGATGAAGAAAGGAAGGGCTGGTAGCAGAGGCCACAGTGGAGAGATTTTGCAACAGGCACTGTCGCTGGTATCTAGGACCTAGACTAAGGCAGAGCCAATGAGGGTAGAGATGTTAAGAACAAAGGCTTAACTAAAAGCATCTTTCTCGCTGATACCTAAAATTCGATCATTAGGATCAATTCCTTTGTGTTACATTTAACTTTAGGGATTCATTTCCTAATAGAATAGCATGGGGTTTAAGAGCAGGGACTCCAGAACTAAATTACTGTGGTTCATATCCCTGCTCCACCACTTACTGTTTGTGCCACCTTGGGCAAGTCACTTGTCTGTGCCTCAGTTTCCTCATCTATAAAATGGGAATAGCAATAATCGTATCTCCCTCTTAGTGTTATCATGTGAATTAATTGGTCAATACAGATGAAGGGTTTAGGACAATGCCTGGCATGTACTAAGCGTTAATTTTATTAATTCATTTCCATTAAGGCCTGTCCCAGCAGTCCTCTTCTAGTATGAAAATACTCTTGGCATAGGTAACAAGTCATTTATACAGTACTTTACAGTTTACAAAGCATCATCTCACTTGTTACTCATAGCCTAGTGCAGGAGTGATGTCTCCATTTACAAACGAATAAAGAGCATCTCAGAGAAGTTAAGGGATTTGCCCGGAGTGTGCGGTGGTATCTGAGCTGGGCCTTCTGTTTATTAGGTACTTAAATCCTCAGGAGAAATGTTTTCCTTTGATAAAACGGATCAGAATGAGAGAACATTGTACTCCTGGAGGCGGGTAGAAGATACTGAAAGGAGGAGGAAGGTGCATGGAGAGGAGTGGAGCCCCCTACAGACTTTATCTTCACACAGTTTGTCCAGGAATCCTACAGGAACCACTGTTCACGCCGTTACTAAATATCTAGGCAGATCTTTCAAACTTGACTAGTACCGGACTTAAACACCTCGATGAAACCTGAGCTGGGAAATGAGGTCAGTTTCAGCATTTGGGTTAATCATTTATTAAAAGCACATTAGCAGCTGTCAATGTGTAAACAGCTGGCATTTTTGCTAAAACCTGCAGTGAGGGTGTCAGGTTGAGCAAATATTTGATAGGCAGAGAAAGATCTTTGTGCAGAATGCACTTTCTAACATGTAACTTGCCATTTGCTACCCTCAAAACACACAGGCCTGGGAATTGGTGTGTTTTCACCATCTCCCCCAAATTTCTCCAGGCCAAGTCTGTCCAAAGCAGGAGTCCCTGGGTCCCTCTATGCTGAGTCAGGCCTTCTGTTTGTTAACCAAGGAAATGAGCTGAGAAGACCCCAGCTGTTTCTCAGCCAGCAGTTCCCTCTTGCCCGGGCTAATAAGACGGGGACAAAAGAGGTGTGGGAATGTGCCATTGAGGGAACTCCCCAGTGCAGGCCAATAAGGCTGTAATTAGGGGAGTCTCTGGTCTAGGAACTCATGTGGTACCTTGGGAAGAAGAAAGGATCAGTTGAGAAATAAGGCTTAACCAAAAGGGAGAGAAAGAGACTTTTAAACCTTATTAAAAATCCCACGACAGTTACCAAATAAAAATAATTCCCACAAACCCAGGTAATAATAGTTACCAGCATTTAATGAGTCCCTACTTACGACGTGTCATGTATGTGCTGCTCCAGTAAGGTAGATATTATTATTCTTCCTCAACAGATGAGAGCACTAAGGCTCAGAGAGGTTAAGTAACTTGCCTAAAGTGACGTCACCTCTAAATGATTGAGTGGGATCCAAACCCAGATCTATCTGACTTAAAATCTCCTTCCACTCTCCCACACTGCTTGTCAGGGAATGGAGAGAGAGGAGGTCTCACCATTATCAAACGCTTACTTGCAGGTGACACAGGAGTCATATTTAGAAATAGTGGTGACAGCTGTAGTGGAATTGTGCTGGCACTCTATGAAGCAGTTTTTTTTGTTTTTTGTTGTTGTTTTTTTTAAGGTTGGTGCCTGAGCTAACAACTGTTGCCAATCTTCTTCTTCTTCTTCTTCTTTTTATTGCTTTTTCTCCCCAAATCCCCCCAGTACATAGTTGTATATATTTTAGTTGTGGGTCCTTCTAGTTGTGGCATGTGGGACGCCGCCTCAACATGACCTGATAAGTGGTGCCATGTCCGCATCCAGGATCCAAACCAGTGAAACCCTGGGCCGCTGAATCAGAGCGCATGAACTTAACCACTCGGCCACGGAGCCGGCCCCTGAAGCAGTGTTTTTTATTCTGGAGAAAGTAAATTCCCTGGAAATTTAAAAAAATGTATCTGCGTGAATTGTGTATATTTTTCTGGATAGAGGAAACAGATCTTTTTTCAAATTCTCAAAAGGGTTTGTAATTCAAAAAAGGTGAAATCCATTTTTAAAGAGGGATTCATTGAAATAGTTCTTGCTATCCAGGGGTTCATAGGGTTAAAGCAGAACTAACACAGATATAAGGAGAACATACAGAGAGTAGAATAAATACAACGATAGTTAATGACATTTTTCCCTAGGTACAGATCAAGGGTTAGAGATAGTCCTGGGATGCTTATGGGGTGGGGGAAAGTGGAAAGAACCTTACATCTTAAGTGGAGTTGAAGGAAATTATCACCTCATCTGGGTAGGATTGTTGTGTGAAGAAAGGCCTTCAATCTAGGCATATATTAAGAGAAAATTCAGAGAAAGAATTGGAGTAAGTATGAAGGCACTGTCCTGGGCTTTCCTACATGTTGCTTCAATCTTTCAGGAGTAGAAAAACCACACGCACAGTCAGGATTCTGAGGCGCCTGGAAGATGGTGGGTTTCAGGGAACCTGTGTTGGTGGTTAACCTGCAAGATGCCCTTTCCAGCTACCTGCCCTCCTTGCCGGTCCTTTGGCCAGTCCGCTTCCCCACACCCTGCTCCACAGTGCAGGCCCAGGGGCTTCTCATTAGCACCAGGGAGAGGTGCAGAGGGGGTACTCAGCATGGCTTTAGGGACTGGAAATGATGCCATCAAGGCAAAGGGAAGGAAGGGTGGGTGTGCAGGATTTTGTGCTTTCTGCAATGTCTGTGTCGTGCTATACCCCAGGGTCTTGGGGATCCTAGGGTCATGTGCGATCGGTCAAGAGCTCTACTTTCCTATGTAACTTCAAATATCTGTCCCTGCTTTTGCAATTTAGACAAAGGGTCCTCCTCCTGCAGAGAGCGCCCCGCCTGCACAGACAAGGACTACTTCTATACTCACACAGCCTGTGATGCCAACGGAGAGGTGGGTAGCGTGGTCTTGGGGCCCCTTTGCCCCCTCCTTGGGCTTTACCACATTGAAATCCCAGCAGTCAGTGAAGCTGGCACGAGAGAAAACCCCACAGACTTCCTCAGGGACTTCGGGCCAGTGGGGAGGCAAAAGGAGATGGCCTCATTCATTTTCAGGTCAGAAACTCTCTCGCCCACATTTGTTCCACTGCTTATTCATACACGCTCTGTTTCAAAAAACCATTTCATTTTCTTTTGCTTGGTTTCTCCCGTTTGCTCAGCCCCCCTGGGCAGTGACTGCCTGTCCATGCACACTGATTTCCACACGGAACTCGTCAGACTTGTCCTGTCAGTACAGCTTTTGTGGGTTGGCAAAGGGAATTGATTCCTGCTGCCTGGCTCACTGGAGAAGGCCTGACTTGTTCAGTCTCTGCCGTTTCCCTCCTCCCCCAGGCTTTCTGCTTCGGAAAGACTGTCCCTTGTAGTCTGCATGGTCACTGAGTCTTCAGGCATTTTTTGAGTCTTAATTGCTGTGCCAGACATTGTGCTCCAGCTGGGGATTCAGAGAGGACTAAGCCAGGCTTCTGCCCTCAGGGAGCTCACAGTCCTGAGCAGGAGGGTGGAGAGAGGAGAAAGATGGGCCTGACCAAGACCACAAGAAGGATGTGCAGGGCACCAGGAGAACCCAGAAGAGGACTGACCAGGACCAGGGACCAGGGAAGGCTTCTCAGAGGAGGTCATTGGTTCATTTCAACAGTCAGTCACTGTGCTGGGTGCTAGGTACACAGCAGGTAACAAAACCAAGAGAATGTCTACTCTCATGGAGCTTAATTCTTGTTGGGGAGTGAGTGGAGAGAGAGACAAGAGATAAATAACAAGTGGGTATATGATATATCAGATGGTAATAAGTGGTAGGAAGAAAAAGATAAAAGAGGATTAAGAGATGGAGAATGACGGGGGGGGGGGTGCTGTTTTAGAGAGGGATGGGATGACCTCTTTGAGGAGGTGACATTTGAACAGAGATCTGAATGAGATGAGGGAAGCCATAGTGCTTTCCAGGGAGAGGGGCACAGCAGGAGTAGAGGAGGCAGGCACGTGCCTGGTGAGTTCGGGGAACAGCAGTAAGTGAGCAGGAATGGCTCAAGGGCACAAGTGGAGGGATCTGTCTTAGATGAGACATTCTGGATGTACTGTCTGTATCCCTAAACCATTCTCAAGAAGATAGAATTAGGAGTCGGGAAATCTTCATTCAGCACTAAGCATACGCTTGGCATTAGGATGCATAAATGTTTGCTGGCTGGACAGCTGGCTGAACCCTCCTTTTGCTAATTAGGCGCGGGATAAAGTCTGCTCCTTAATGCTGATTGTTTTTCATAGTCGTCTCTTACTCCCCCTCACCCTCATGTTTGGAACATCATCCCCTTCTCCAGCAGCCAAGTGAGAATGGCTATATATTTTGTCCGTTGCACCTTAGGCTGGGTTCTGTAGTGTCTGATGTTCTGAATGACCTTGTAAAAATTATTGTCATTTTCTTGGCCTCGGTTGGCTCACTAATTAAATGAGGATAATCCTGCTCCTCTTCTCGCTCCTGGGCATAACATGTGACTGTATGTGGCTGTCTTTGCTTCCTTCTGCCCCACTCTTTCCCCTCCCGGCTTAGGCCAAGGCCTTCTAGATGTGCAGTGTGCTCTGATGCCTGCGAGCCTGCAGGCCTGCCCTTACCTGACCGCCTCCGGGGCCTTTCGATGCTGGGTTGGGCCAGAGCCAGTGCTTCCACCTTGCAGCCTAGCCAAAGCTCAGCTCAGAGGAGGAGGCCTGAAGCATGTACGGCTAAGCAGTGCACACGAACATGCAGTCACCAGGAGCGCCTCACAGAAGTCTCATGCCACACTGGTTCTGTTCAGTCTCATGAATTCAGTTTGTCTGTCCTCTAAGCTATATTTTAAAATCAAAGGACACACCTCTCACTGACTCCAATGATTGCCCTTGTGGCCTTTGCTGTGCCTCAGTGGTTTCTCAGGGACCAGGATGGCCAATACATTGGGGCTTCTAAATGTGCTGCTCCAAGAGATGGCCCAAGTCAGTCTTCCTGCTCCCCAGACCCTTCTCTCTATGAGACTTGAGGAGACAGGCTGGGTGAGACGAGGTCAGAGCACAAGCCTGGGGCTCTGGCCATTGGTTGCTCTTCACAGGGAAGAAGGCTGAGCTGAGCAGGGGGAGGAGGAGCTCCAGGGCTCACCATGAGTGAAGGCAGCATGGCCCTCCAAGACCTTGTAGTTTCTTATCCTGAATAAAATAGACACATGCCTTCTTTATCCACCTTTTTGCATGTATGATATGCTGCACAGATCATTTTCATCATCACATCAATGCAATCCACAAGAGCACGTTTTGTCTCTGACTTGACCCAAGGGCCACACAGGAAGCTTGGAGCTGCCCAACCTCACGCCTGACTCAGCAGGGGCCTCCTGCAGGTCATCTTCTCTTCTATATCCAATGCCTCTATCCAAAGACTAAGGATGGCCCTAGTGAGTGACAAGCACAATGCTTCTCTTGTCCACTGACCTGATGGCTGCTGTTCCTCTTGGCTTCCCCTCCTCACACAGCTTCATTGAAATATAATTGACACATAACATTGTATAAGTTTAAGGTGTACAACGTGTTGATTTTATAGATTTATATTGCAAAATGATGACCACCATAGCGTTAGTTAGCCACCCCCCCATAACATCACATAGTTACCATTTCTTTTTTGTGGTAAGAACATTTAAGATCTACTTTCTTAGCAACTCGCAAATCTATAATACAGTATTGTTAACTATAATCACTGTGCTGTACTTTAGATCCCCAGAACTTATTGGTCTTATAACTAGAAGTTTGCACCCTTTGACCAACCTCGTTCCCCTTGCCTTGATGTCCCAGAGAACACAGTGTCCGCACCCCAGCATGGATTGTTGTTATGTGATTGCTGCCCTTGCTAGATGGGGAGCTCCCTGAGCACAGGGGCCATGTCTCATTCATCTCTGAGTCACCAAGTCTGACACATAGATGTATTAGGCTTTCTATAAATGTCTACTGAACAAATGAAAAAGCAAAGAAAATACTTGGAAGACAAATTGGGACACCTCAGTCACTCCCTCTTTCCCCAGGGGTTATGAAAGCCACCTCCACTCCCTGCCTTTCTATGTTGTGGGATTTTCACCAGCTGCTTTTCCTGTGACCTTGATCGTAATAAGATTCTACATTGGAATCAGAGCATTCTCTGGAGACTGCTGGTGCCCTGTTCCCTCTGTCACACAAGTCCTCATTACCTTTACCCCTCTTCATCCAGTCAACATTCATTTCACAGATATTTATTGAGCATGACCATGTGCCAGGCACTGGGCTAAGTGCTTGGGATACATTGGTGACCAAAACAAAGCTCCCGACCCTAGTGGAGCTTTCATTAAAGCCCAGATCACGCCCCTTCGCCATTCTCAAGGTAAATTCCTAAAGATGCGCTAAATCCCACGCAGGCTGAGCCGTTCTTAATCCATTTCTGCAGACGCAGCTCATGTACAAATGGGCCCAGCCGAAAATCTGTGGTGAGGATCTCGAGGGGGCGGTGAAGCTGCCCGCCTCTGGCGTGAAGACCCGCTGCCCGCCCTGCAACCCAGGCTTCTTCAAAACCAACAGCAGCACCTGCGAGCCCTGCCCTTACGGCTCATACTCCAACGGCTCTGGTAACCCCCTCGCCGCCCTATTACCCGAATTGCATCTGTTCCCACATCACCCACATGGGCGGGCCACATGGGCACTCAGAGTGGTCGGCTGAATGCCGACTCTCTCCTCCGAGGGAGGCAGTAAGGGCCAGGCCACCTCTGAGGACTAAGTTCGGGAGACGAGAGTCTGGGAGGGGTCCTGCCTGTAGGTCAGAGTCATACCTGGAACTGCCTGCCTTCCTCCTCCTTCCAACTGTGACTGTGACTCAGGCCCGAAGGTACCCAATCCTCACGACAGAGGCTACCAGCACATGGCAGGGATGCTAACGAGGAGTTGGGGGAATTTGTGTACCTGTTGACATGAACGCATTTACTGATAATAATGTGACAAATAATATGAGCTCTACGAATCAGAATAGAAGATACATTTAAGTTTTGAAATGAAAAATTTGGTGGGCAAGGAGGATAGCTGGGATCTTGGAATGAAGGGTCAGTGTTTACGTCTTGAGTTGGTTAATCACATTGTCAGAATGTTTTTGAGCCAACTTGATATAACTATGCAATGGTGCTGACCCACCGCTCTTGTTTGGCTGTCTGCTATTGTTGCTGCTTGTCTGTGTGACAGCAGCTCCAGTCAGGGTGGCCGCAGCCTTCCTGCTGAATGCGAGCATCTTGTGGTTCCCCCAGACTGTAGCCACTGCCCAGCTGGGACTGAACCTGCTGTGGGATTCGAATACAAATGGTGGAACACGCTGCCCACGAACATGGAAACGACTGTTCTCAGTGGGATCAACTTCGAGTACAAGGGCATGACAGGTAATTGCCTCTCCCCGACCATGAGCTGTCAGCTCCCTGCTCTCCCACAGAGGCTCTTCCCACTTCCCATTTCTTCATAATGGTGATGCCTGGAGGAAAATGAGCCAATCATGCCACACATTCCCTTAGAAGTTTCACTCTTCATGGACATATATTCTGCTAAACCTTAGTTTTAGAGACAGAAACAGAACTAGAAACTATGTGCACACACTCCAAAAGTCTTGCACAGAGAGCCTCAGAGTCTTTGAACAAAGTAGCAGGATACGTAACATGGTTCCTGTTCGGCGGTGGCTCCGGACGCCTGGAGGACAGTGTTACCTCTCTCTTCCAGAGTGTCATCTGGGTGCTCTTTTACCCTGCACCCGAAGCCGCAGGGTGTTAACTCTCCCCTCTCCTTTTCCAGGCTGGGAGGTGGCTGGTGATCACATTTATACAGCTGTTGGAGCCTCAGACAATGACTTCATGATTCTCACTCTGGTTGTGCCAGGATTTAGGTGAGGAATACAAAGCTAAAGGGAAGCCCCTGCCACCTTGGCCACATCCAAGTCCCATAGAGCTTGGGATGTTGCAGAGGGGAGGGCTTCCGGTATGCTGAAGTACCAGTTCAGAACAGAGCACAGGAATGGTCTGACGAAGTTCACCTGAGTGCCAACACATTCTTAGTTGCTGCCCATGCTGATTTGCTTACTGCTCTGTCATCCATGTGGCTTCTCCCGTCAGATGGCTGCATGCTACCCAAATTCTTCCTCCTCACAGCATCAGATAAGATTTTTTAAAAAAATCGGGCCAGGGGTGCCCAAAGACAGTTCATCTTTATTTGAGACAAGAAGAGTAGAGGGATTGCTCTTATTGTCATATTTATCCCCATATCCCAAGAAGACCTAGGACAACAAGCAATTTGTTTGCCATTAAAAAAAAATAATACTATAGGCAGTGAGGTGTGGTGGAATGAGCACTAGACTGGAAGACAGGGCACTTGAACTTGGCCACTGACTGGCTTTGTGAACTTGGGAAAGTCACCGTGAGGCTTTAGGCTTTAGGCTCCTCATCTGTAAAACAAGGGGGATTCACAGACTGTGATTTTGGACTAACTCAGGTTGTGATGACTGTTCCAGCCCATTAGTTAGCACAAGTGTGTAGACAGGAGCTGAGAACTGGAGGTCCTCAGAATTCAAGCAAATGGCCAAAGCCAAAACAAAAGCCATAAATGGATTTCCAAAGCCAAAGTGAACTCTTCCACCCATATATGCTTTAAAGACGGGAGGGAACCACTGAAAGGGCTTCTCTATTGCCAGTCTGGCTTCTCCACTCCCACCTTCAAGCCCCCTCCTTTCCTTCCCTCACAGCGCTCAGCCCACGGTAGTCATGCAAAAGGTATTCATTTCCCTTCCCCTAACTTATCTTACTCAGAGCTGAGCAGATACATCCCATGTTTTCAAGGTGAGCAAACTTTTTAGACTTTTTGGAGGTAACATGTCCAAAAGTACTTTTCAATTTGCAAATCTGATTACAGTAGTAGAGTGCTTCTCCATCCCCCAACCCCATCCCCACCCTCTTGGGCATGGCTTTCTCTTTCCCAAGAGAAGGACCAGCCTGAGAATTTTGCTGAAGAAATTATAAGTTGAAATACTGCTCGTTCGACCCAGGCAAAACCCATACTATCCCAGAGAGTGAGCTGCGGAGTGAATACAGTTTACATCTTATGCAGTGGTGCTTCTCGAACTTTAATGAGCATACGCATCACCTGGGAGCTGTGTTAAGGCACAGATTCTGATTCAGTGGGTCTGGGGACCACACTCTGCTAGCGAGACTATATGGCATTTTACAAAGCACTTCTACATCTGTCATGCCTTTGGATCTCACCCAATGATGGGAGATAATAAGAAAGATGTCATCACATCCATTTTACAGATGAGGAAACTACAGTTCGGCCAGGTCAAGGTCACATAGAATTGGACTTAGTCCATGCTCTTTCCAGCATACTCAGAACTTAATCCTGTCCCCCAGCAGACCCTTTGCTGCTGTCTGGGCTCTTCAATAAGCACCACCTGGCCTCTGGAACTGACTTAATTTCTGCCTCCATAGACCTCCACAGTCGGTGATGGCAGACACAGAGAATAAAGAAGTGGCCAGGATCACATTTGTCTTTGAGACCATCTGTTCTGTGAACTGTGAGCTCTACTTCATGGTGGTACGTTTTCCTTTCTCTGCCCACTTTGGGGTTTACAAGGACTACTGGGAGGGTTGGCTCCCTCTGCCCCATTGGCACATCAACGTAACTGACACCCCAGCTTACAGTGATTTCACAGAGGAGGGGCCCAGACTGTCCATCAGGGAGTTCACAGTTTAACATTGGTCTGACCAACTGTGATGGCCCCTAGGATGGCAGTGGTGTGAGCACCCTCTCCCCCACCACCCCAACCACTCAGCCATCCCACCTTCTCCTTTTGTCTGTCTTGGGTTCAGGGTGTGAATTCCAGGACCAACACTCCTGTGGAGACATGGAAAGGTTCCAAAGGCAAACAGTCCTACACCTACATCATTGAGGAGAACGCCACCATGAGCTTCACCTGGGCCTTCCAGAGGACCACTTTTCATGAGATAGTAAGCTCCTCCCCTTCCTCAGATCCCCAGCTCCTAGAAGAGACCTCTGAACCCGGGAGGATGCCTAGTATTAGCTTAAGTGTGAGTTTGAGGTTCAGAATCCAAGGGTTAGAAGGATCCTGAAGAGTCAACAGAGGACTGCCTATTCCAGCCCCCCGAGGAGCATCCAGCCTTGTCCAGATGACTTCCCGGGGAAGATGACACTATAAGCTCCTTAAATTTCCTGTCCCTCCTCAGCAGTCCCCATGACATGTGTTGTGCCTGACCTGGTACACCCTGTCCAGCCCCCTCGTTGTTTTTAATAATAATAACTTCGGTTTTATTTTCTTAACTCAAAGTAATGCAGGTTCATTGCAGAAGACTTAGAAGATATAAAAAAGCAAAAAGAAGAAGTAAAATCACCCATAATCCTACTACCCAGAGATATCCCAGTTAACATCTAGAGTATCTCCTATATAGTCTTTATTTCTCTACAAATACATTTTTTTTTCATTTATAAGGAAAAGACCTGCTTTTTTCATATAAGAGTATCTACTGCACATTTCCCCCGTGGCACTTACTATTTTTACACACCATTTTAAATGGTTCAGTCTTATTTTAAAGTGACACAAAACGTACATAAAGAGTTACTGTCAAGTGAGTAAAAAGAATAGGATGCTTCTAAGATTTTTCTCAAATATCAAGCTAAAAAAGATTGTCACAGTTTACCATTTCCAGAGAGCTCAATTGCTACTGTGTCTCAGGCCTCCGCCAGCTCTCCTCTTGTTTCCAGGGCAGAAAGTACACCAATGATGTTGCCAAGATCTACTCCATCAATGTCACCAATGTCATGGATGGAGTAGCCTCCTACTGCCGTCCTTGTGCCCTGGAAGCCTCTGAAATGGGCTCCTCCTGCACCTCTTGTCCTGCTGGCTATTACATTGATCGAGATTCAGGAACCTGCCACTCCTGCCCCCCGGACACAATCCTGAAAGCCCACCAGCCTTATGGCATCCAGGCCTGCACGCCCTGTGGTCCAGGGACCAAGAGCAACAAGGTACCAGCAGTCAGCAGTGCATCCTAACCTTGGCCCTCAGGGTGGGTCACTTCAGAGGGTGCAGGTCCTGGGTGTGGTTCTTGAGGGGCTGATACCCAAGGACTCATCCTGGCGTATTCCCAGGTTGGAGTCCTGAAGGGCACCCATCCAGGCCGTGCTTGGGGATGGCGAGTTCTTAGCTGTAGCAGTTGGTTTTCAGGGTCTAGGCCTCAGTCATACACAAGTCTCATCTTTAGGAGATAGGTCAGGAGATCTGTGGCCATCTGGTCCAGAGGGTTACTTGGCATCTGTGCAGAGACCTGAAGAGAAGGAATAGTGAGACCTGCAGCCCAAATTCAGCCTACTTCAATCCAGCCTGTTATCATAGGAATTTGCCCCCTCTTCTTTGGAAAAGGAACTCCCCTTTGCTGAGACATATGGTTAATTGGCATTAATGCCTTCTATCCAGTGGTTTCTTCTACATTGGAACAACAGTGCTATTTCCCCACGTACTTTCTGAATCTAAGTACTATGACTAAAAGCGTTTAGTTATTCATGAATGCTTTTAAGTGAACTTGTATTTTACTGATCACAACCATGGGACATACATCTGTAAGGCACTATTTATAGTCTGCTGACGTTGTTCACTTTAGCTGGGAAACAATTCTACAGACCCCGGAGACCTCTTTTGGGCACCGTGGACTTTTGCCACAAACTTCCTCCTGGGGCTCCCTCTGCTGCTATGGGAGGGAATGATAGCTGTATAAGGCTGCTGCTGAAGGGACCTAAAACGGAGCAAGGAAGCAGCCTACGGAAATCAAACCCCTTTTGAGGTTCAGTTTCCTAAAGAGAAGCTGGGAAAGAGGAAGCAGGGGTCAGTGAGTTTTAAATGGAGATGGGGGGTGGAGGCAAGGCTGGTAGTTTCTCTTCTGCCAAAGGAAGGAGGGCTGTCCTGTGTCTTGAGAGAGTTCTATAAGCCAGGCATAGGGACAAGGCTGTAGAATCTGACCGAACTACCTGCTGCAAAACAATAGGTTTGGGTTCGTACATCACGTATGTGCTAATAATTGAGTGGCAAGATTTACATAAACCCCACCAGCCCCTGTTTCACTTCTTTTCATGCCCACCTCCAATCCTCACTTCCCCTTCTCTCACTCCACTCGGGCTGGACCAGGCTGGGGAGAATGGCTGCCACTCCGCAGGGGTCCCCTCAGCTGCCCCAGCAGCTGGCCTGATGGTCCCTTTCCCCTCAGATCCACTCTCTGTGTTACAACGACTGCACCTTCTCAGTCAGCACTCCGACCAGGACTTTCGAATACAACTTCCTGCCTCTGGCAAACCCCGTCTCTCTGGCTGGAGGGCCAAGCTTCACCTCCAAAGGGCTGAAATATTTCCATCACTTCACCCTCAGTCTCTGTGGAAACCAGGTGAGGCGTGCAGGGGCTGACAGCATGAGCACTGGGAGGGGTCGCCAGCGGGTCAGAGGCCAGAGAGGACACGGGAGAAAAGCTGGAAGGTGTCCAGGCCACAGGGCACTGAGGAGATTCAAAGGTTTTTCAATGATGATTATTCTCCCTGAGGACTTTTTTTCTCTAACATTAAATCATTTAGATTATAAACATTTAGGAAATTAAAGATGTTAAAATAAGGTGTCCATTTACTCCTACCTGACCTTTATTCCTTCCAAATGACGATATAAAAACTCTGCAGGAGGGAGATTTCTTTTTCCCTTCACAAAGTAGTCTTCACTAATCACAGCACTTGTCCTTTGTTTTCTAGAGGCTGGATGAAATAAACTGTTGTTAGTTCATCTGCATGTGTCTTTGCTGACAGTACAAAGGAAAGCAAGGTGAAAGGCTTTATAAGATAAGGAAGGAACGTCCCCCTCAGCCATTTCACGCTGCTGCAAATGTTTTGGATACAAAAGTGAAAGGCAGAAAAGTAAAGGGCAGTCCCATCACTACTGCGCTTGACTAAATTACAGACAAGCCAGGATCAGCATTAGGAAAGTTAGTTTCAAATGTTACAAAATAAAGAATATCTCGGGGCCGGCCCGGTGGCGCAGCGGTTAAGTTCACACGTCCCGCTTCTCAGCGGCCCGGGGTTCGCCGGCCTGGATCCCGGCTGCAGACACGGCACCGCTTGGCACGCCATGCTGTGGTAGGCGTCCCACATATAAAGTAGAGGAAGATGGGCACGGATGTTAGCTCAGGGCCTGGCTTCCTCAGCAAAAAGAGGAGGACTATGCCGAGGTGAGGCCTTTATACCACAAGCTTCTACCCATCTAATGCAGCATGCAGAAAGGTTGATTTGCATTTATACAGAAAACAAGTCAAAAAAGAAACTAATCTAGGAAAGACTAGAGACAGATGTCTCTACCTTGTTTTTAAAAGTCTCTGAAGAAGTTAAAATAAAGCCTCAGAAGTGACAGTGATAACTCAGGAATTGAGACTGATAAAAGCAAACCCCATGTAGCAAAAGTTTCATTCAGTGAGTTGGGAGAGGAGATGAAGATGGGGAATTTGAAGAGTTTGTGTCTTTTTTTTCCTTTGCTCCTTTATTCTTTTCAGAAATGCTTCTTGTGTACTGTCACACTATAGACCCTCAGTTCAAAGACAAAATAACGCCGTTTTATTATAATGTAAAGGTTTCTTCCTGTTCTCATATTCTTTATTTCTTACAGTCGAGAAATTACAATCTAAAATAAACTGAGGGGCTGGCTTGGTGGTGCAGCGGTTAAGTTCACACGTTCTGCTTCTTGGAGGCCCGGGGTTCGCCAGTTTGGATCCTGGGTGTGGACATGGCATGAGTTGGCAAGCCATGCTGTGATAGGCGTCCCACATAGAAAGCAGAGGAAGATGGGCACGGATGTTAGCTCAGGGCCAGTCTTCCTCAGCAAAAAGAGGAGGATTGGCAGCAGTTAGCTCAGAGCTAATCTTCCTAAAAAAAAAAAAATAAGTAAAATAAAATAAAATAAATTGAGATACCAGATTTAGCAATTTAACTCCATTTGTAATAAAATTTATGATATTGAAAATCCTACATTCTAAATGCTTAGTCCACTTAAAGTTAAAATATTGAACAAATGATTTTGTATTAGCAAACAAGTTATATATTGATATTTCATAAATTTAACAATTTTGAAGGAACAATATCTCAATATTTCCTCTATACAAAGTCTCAGGGAAGAAGGGGTCTCAATTCCTACTGTGTTCCCAAGTTCTATGTGGTTTGGGCTGTTAAAGACTGGAGGAGAAGCAAACTTTCTTCCCTTGATAAATATTTTTCTTTTAAAGATTGGCACCTGAACTAACAACTGTTGCCAATCTTTTTTTTCCTGCTTTTTTTTTTCTCTTTCTCCCCAAATCCCCCCCACCACACAGTTGTGTAATTTTTAGTTGTGGGTCCTTCTAGTTGTGGCATGTGGGACACCACCTCAACATGGCCCAATGAGCAGTACCATCTCCGTGCCCAGGATCTGAACCAGCAAAACCCCAGGCCGCCGAAGCGGAGCTGCGAACTTAACAACTCAGCCCCGGGGCCAGCCCCCACCTTTTTTAGTGTAACATGAAGTCTTCCTTCTTTTTTTTTTTTTGAGGAAGGTGAGCCCTGAGCTAACATCTGCTGCCAATCCTCCTCTTTTCGCTGAGGAAGACTGGCCCTGAGCTAACATTGTGTCCATCTTCCTCTACTTTCTATGTGGGACGCCTGCCAGCATGGCTTGCCAAGCGGTGCCATGTCTGCACCTGGGATCTGAATCGGCGGACCCCGGGCCACCGAAGTGGAACGTGTGCACTTAACTGTTGTGCCACCGGGCCGGTCCCCAATATTTTTTTAATGGAATAGGTTCCAATTGGTCCTAAGACGTCCTACCTCCAGGCAGGGAAGGGGCTGGTTATGGAGTCTGTTTTAACCCCCGGGAGTCACTGTCTGGAAAGTGCGTCCAGGACAAGCGTGGTGGAATCACACACCAAGGGAGACACAGAGGGCGAATGTGAACCAGGCCAGATGTTGAAATAAATTTCATGGGATCACTTACATATTTCAGTATCTGCCTAGAAAACTGACTAGGATAAGGAAGACCCTTAAGTGGTGGGCTGGTAGATTAGATCTCCAAATGCCACCATCGCAACCCTGCTCACATAAGGCTCCCAGGTGATGCCAAAGAAACAAAAAGACTGGGGATCTCTGGGCCAGAGTTCCAGAAGTCAGGACATCTAGGCCTTATTCTTTACTATTTTTTTTTAACCTGTCTTGTAATTAGAAATGGGATGAATCATTCCATTGCAACGTATCATTGGAAAGCTGAAGCTTTAGATGTAAAAATACTGTTCCCTCTTCCCTTTTGGGAGTTCTTCTGTGACCACCACTCCTTCCCACTTCTTCCTCCCCACATCCCCCTGCCCAGGGTAAGAAAATGTCTGTGTGCACCGACAATGTCACTGACCTCCGGATTCCTGAGGGTGAGTCAGGTTTCTCCAAATCCATCACAGCCTACATCTGCCAGGCGGTCATCATTCCCCCAGAGGTGACAGGCTACAAGGCCGGAGTGTCCTCGCAGCCTGTCAGCCTCGCTGATCGACTCATTGGTGAGTAACCCAGCTGCTCCAGCCTGTTTGAATTAGTATGTGTGTAAGAGAGTGTGAGGCAACCAGGCTCCAAGGTAGAAGGCCCCAGATGAAGGGCCCAACCTCTTTACCTCTGTTTTCTATTCCATCTTGGGTGCCAAGTGCCCCTGGGCCTCTGACAAACCTTTGGTTCACCCTTTCATGAGCCACTTGGCCTTGTGATGAGATGAAGGAAGGTTGCATGTGGACAGGTATTAAAAGAATGGAAGTGGTTGCCAGCTAATGCTGCTAGTGGGAACTAACTAGGAGCTCTAATTTGGCAGGGGTGACAACAGATATGACTCTCGATGGAATCACCTCCCCAGCTGAACTTTTCCACCCGGAGTCCTTGGGAATACCGGACGTGATCTTCTTTTATAGGTGAAAATGAGAGGCCAGGCTAATGCAAGTGAAACTTAGGGGTCCTCCACAATTTCTGTTGTATCCCTCCCTCCCCAGCCACCCACTGCTTATCAAGCCAGAACACATCCACGGTCTAGCAGATCTGCCCAGCAATGATAGCTAAAGACTGGGAGTTCCCTGATGGCAGCTTCTTGGGTATTACTGGGGCAGGTCTGCCCCTGGAGGCGGGGAGAAATATTGGATGATCTGTGGCTGATTTCCCTTCCTGCCTGGGGAGACTCCAGTGTTGTGTACATGCTAACCTTTCCTAGACCAGTGCATTTCCGCTTGACCAGATCTCCTGACCCCCACTCTCTCCATGTGTAAACCAAGGCCTGTGCACTCTTATGCGTCAGGCTAGAGCCCAAGTCCTGACTTCCCCAGCAAGGGAATCGTTCCATGTTGACTTCACTTAGTGGCACAGATGAGTGACTCATTCTCCTGTGGGGGCTGGCTTTCTCTGCAGGTCCAATGATGTCACCCAGTCCTGCAGTTCTGGGAGATCAACCACCATCCGCGTCAGATGTAGTCCACTAAAATCTGTCCCTGGAAGTCTGTCACTGCCAAGGTAAAGGGACGTAACAAAGTCTCCCTTCCTTGGACTCACTCTATCCTCAGAGCCAAAGATTACTGAAAAAGGGAAAAAGAGACAACAGTCTGAGGTCCATTAATGGGCTCTTAGGGACACAGTCATGGCTCCAAACCCTCACTATTTAGATGTCAAGAATGAGGCAGAGGGGCCGGTCCCATGGCCGAGTGGTTAAAGTTCCACGCACTCCACTTCGCTGGCCCAGGTTCACAAGTTTGGATCCCAGGTGCAGACCTACTCCACTCATCCATCAGCCGTGCTGTGGAGGCATCCCACATACAAAGTAGAGGAAGATTAGCATAGATGTTAGCTCAGGGCTAATCTTCCTCAAGCAAAAAAAAAGGAGGATTGGCAATGGATGTTATCTCAGGGCGAATCTTCCTCACACACACACAAAAAAGGGAATGAGCAGAAGGAAGAGTTAAAGCTACCTTCACATTCCCAGACCATTACGTGGGCAGCTGCATAGCAAAGTGGCTAACTGCTGGGGCTGAGAGCCACATTTGATTCATCTCCTCCACTGACCAGCTATGTTATCATGGATACATTTCTTAACTTCTCTATTTCCTATCTTATCTCTTCTTCTTTTTTTCTTATCTATAAATTCAGATAATGATAAGTTTCCTCAGGAATTTATTGAAAGGATAAATGAGACTTGAGAACTTCTCATGGTGTCTGGCATGTACTTGCTATTATTAGGATTGGGAGGGGCCGGCCCCGTGGCACAGCGGTTAAAGTGCACACATTCCGTGCCAGCAGCCTGGGGTTCGCCAGTTCAGATCCCAGGTGCAGACATGGCCCTGCTTGGCACGCCATGCTGTGGTAGGCGTCCCACATATAAAGTAGAGGGAGATGGGCACAGATGTTAGCTCAGGGCCAGTCTTCCTCAGCGAAAAGAGGAAGATTGGCTGCAGTTAGCTCAGGGCTAATCTTCCTCAAAAAAGAAAAAAAAAAAAGGATTGGGAAAGGTTTAGGGAATCCTAGGAATCTCTCCACAACTAAAAGACCCAATTCTGAGTTTAATAGCTGAGTGCACTAAATCAGAAACCCCGGGCTGCTGAGGTGGAGCACCTGAGCTTAAACACTCGCCACTGGCCCCACCCACCTCCGTTTTTTTTTTTTTCTCACATAACACCAACTAACATAGTGAGAGGCATTAGGGTCTTGAAGAAGATGGTTTGGGAGATGCTGCTCCCGAGCAAAAACCAATCAGGGAGATGGGGAGCAAAGCAGGATGTTTTGGCCCAGCAGTGGTGTCAAAATGTAAGATCACTCTTCTTGTTCTAGAAACCGCACAGTAAAGTACATAGCAGATGTCCATGACCTGAAGCCCATTCCTGAACCCCACCCCCAGGAAGCCACAGCGAAGTGGCTTTTGCAAAATGTCACATGCCCATGGGGAGAACAGGAGCCTCTGATGGCTTGGTTGGGCAGCCACACTAGAGCTCAGACACCTTACCTTAGCTCTCATCTGATGTCAGCGGAAGCAAATGGGCAGAGGATGGGAAGTCTGGTGGAGGCTGGGAAGGCCTCTTATCATCAGGGAAACTGGAGAGCAAACCCTGTGTTAAGGACTAGTTGGAAGGATCCTGGTGGAGCTAACAGTTTGGCAAGGAGAGAATGGATCAGGGAAGCTATGAGATGACAGGATTCCAACCAGATCTTCCCCTCCAGTCCAGCAAGTGAGCACTCAAGTCTCCTTTCTGCCTTGCCAGCACTTGCTCTGATGGGACCTGCGATGGCTGTAACTTCCACTTCCTGTGGGAGAGTGTGGCCGCTTGCCCGCTCTGCTCGGCTGCTGACTACCACACTATCGTCAGCAGCTGTGTGGCTGGGATCCAGGTAGGTTTCTGTGCTTGGGGGCTTCCCAGGAGAGAAGGGAATGTGATATCAGAGTCCCTTGTTTTTCTCTCCAACAGAAGACTACTTACGTGTGGCGAGAACCAAAGCTATGCATGGGTGGCATCTCCCTGCCTGAGCAGAGAGTCACCATCTGCAAAACGATAGATTTCTGGCTGAAAGTAGGCATCTCTGCAGGCACCTGCACTGCCATCCTGCTCACCGTCTTGACCTGTTACTTTTGGAAAAAGAATCAAAAGTACATGCTGGGGTCTTGGAGTTTGGGGATGGACAGGGTTGGACCACTGAGCTGGGAGGAGAACATCTGAGAGTATAAATTCATGGGGCTTTTCTCTGAAGTTGGCCACCGACCCCATGACTCTGGCCACTTGCTGAGCCACTTTTCCAGTGTATGCCTTGTTTATCCTGGCTCCTGAAGAGAGAAGGTACCACATGGCAGTCTACAAATGGCTACTAGATTCCCAAAAGAAAAACAAAGAATATCTTTGATTTGTAACTGTTAATAATAAAAATGATGACTTTACCATTCTCATATTTCCATTAAGCTTTAAGATCACAGAAACAGCCCAGCCTTAAGGGAAAAAGATCACTGACCTAGGAGCCAGGATTCCTTAGCTCTATGCCCAGCCCAACACCATTTTGCTATGCTTCGTTCAGTTTCCTTAGCCATGGTATGGGAATACCTGTTTATAGCCCAGCCTCCTTCCCCCTTTACCTCTTATTCCACACTTTGGTGTCTTGTCTTTCCCATCCCGTTTCACAGGCTGGAGTACAAGTACTCCAAGCTGGTGATGAACGCCACCCTCAAGGACTGTGACCTGCCAGCAGCCGACAGCTGTGCCATCATGGAAGGCGAGGATGTGGAGGATGACCTCATCTTTACCAGCAAGAAGTCACTCTTTGGGAAGATCAAATCATTTACCTCCAAGGTAGGGAGCCTGACCAGTGCACTGAGGTCAGCCTGGAGGGCTGGAGAAGACACCAGTCCTAGGCCCCTGAATGGCCCCACACTGTTCAGGGACCACTACTCTGCTCCCCACCCTCCACACTATTCTTTCCCTCCACCCTGAAAATCCTGGCTTCTGCCTTCTGTATTTCCACACCAATACTCTTTCCCCTGGGGCCCAGGGCTGCTCTTGACCAGGCTCCTTCTCTCCCAACATGCACTCCAGTTGATGGACTGTTTGGGCCTTTTAACTTCCAGAAGGAGTACTGAACCATCCATGTTGTAAGAATCATTTCCCTTTTTTTTGGAGGGAGGGGAAGAGGTGATCTTTAGGATCAACTTCTGCAAGAAGTGAGGCTCTCCTTTGACCACTGGAGGGTGCTGTCCCCCAGATGTCTGGGCCCTGTCCTTTGGGGGCTGAGTCATAGCTAAGTCGAAGCTGTTCACCACTGAGCAATTCTGAGCTGGAAGAGTTGGCTCTGTGTAGGTGGGTGAGTGAGTTTGAAGCTCATAAATGCAATACAGACATCACTGTTGCTGGGGGTGGGGCCAGCAGAGAGCATGCAGGCAACTCCTCCAGGGCCACAGCCCTCTGCAGCCCCACTCTGCCAGCACCCACACCTCACTGCCCTGAACCAGTTCATCCAAACAGGTGTGGGTGGGGAGGGAGGGAAGAGGGGAGGAGAGGGCTGAAGGATGGTGAGGAAAGGAAGGTGGATAGGTGATTAGATTGCTGACTCTCGTTCCCTTTCTGCTGGCCTACCAGGCTGACTCCCTTGACCTCCTTAGATCTTGGGGGGCATTTTTTACCCATGGGAGAACAATTCACCCTGGGACCCTTGAGTCCTCACAACAGCAAAGATGCAAAGCAGGGGGTTTTAGAGATTTTTCTTATCCTCTGACTGAATGAAGGGAGCAAGAATAGAGGGTATCTTATGTCTGTGTTTCCACCAAGCCCCTGAAAGCAGAAATTCCATAAGGGTTCCTTCTGTCACCTATTTTCCATTTCTCTCCTTTGTTCTCCAAACTTGCCCCTGTGCAGCAGCCAGCTCCTGTCACCATCTCTCTTTCAGAGGACTCCTGATGGATTTGACTCGGTGCCACTGAAGACATCCTCAGGAGGCCCGGACATGGACCTGTGAGAGGCACTGCCCTGCCTCACCTGCCTCCTCGCCTTGGCACGTCACCTAGCAGGCCTGTAGCGATCTGGGTGCCAGCTTCCTGCAACACCCACTGCTGGAAATCTCTTCATTGTGGCCTTATCAGAAGAAGTTTGAATTTCAGATTTTTGTTTTTTTACAGAGTACCCAAGCCCTCCTTTCTGCTTACGTCAAACCTGCCAAATATACCCACACTCTGTTTGTATATTACTCCCTTGCCTGCATCTTGTTTCTCCAAGTGGCTCAGCCGCCGGAGCCATAGCTTCACCTGCTCATAGTGCTTACAACTCTGGAATGAAAATATTTCTCTCTTCCTACGTATAGAAACTACTTCCTCTGTCCTCTTATTGAAGGGCAGGAGCAGCTGGCAGTTTCCCTGATCATATGCCCCCGGCTCATGGTCTCTTTAGGAGAGAAGCTGGGTGAGGAGGCGCTTGGCGTTCCCAGTGGACCGTCTTCATGGTAGCCTGAATTCATCTCTCCCGGAAAACCAGCTCGAACTGAGTGTAACGGATAGGCCAAGGGCCAGGGGAGTAAGGCCTGGGTAAGAAAAGGCTTGATAAGCACAAAGAGACGCAATAAGGAAGCTTTTGTTTGTTTGTTTTAGGAAGACTGGCCCTCAGCTAACATCTGTTGCCAATCTTCCTTTTTTTTTCTTTTCTCCCCAAAGCCCCAGTATATAGCTGTATGTCCTACTTGTAAGACATTCTAGTTCTTCTATCTGGAATGCTGCCACAGCATGGCCTGATGAGTGGTGCTATGTCTGCACCCAGGATCCAAACCAGCGAACCCTGGGCCACCAAAGTGGAGTGAGCAAACTTAACCACGGGGCCACGGGGCTGGCCCTGGAAGCTTTTGTTTTGTTTTATTTTTTAAACTAGGTACTTTAGGGGCCAGCCCCGTGGCGCAGTAGTTAAGTTTGCACGTTCTGCCTCGACAGCCCGGAGTTTGCAGGTTTGGATCCCAGGTGCGGACATGGAACTGCTTGGCACGCCATGCTGTGGCAGGCGTCCCACATAGAAAGTAGAGGAAGATGGGCACAATGTTAGCTCAGGGCCAGTCTTCCTCAGCAAAAAGAGGAGGATTGGCAGCGGATGTTAGCTCAGGGCTAATCTTTCTCAAAAAAAGTAAATAAATAAAATAAACTAGGTACTTCATTTCCTTTTCTTAAGTAAGCGATAAATATTCTCACTGGAGCCGAAGGGAAAAGTTCATCAGGAAAGGCCCAAAGCTCTAGTGGGTCTCTTGTCTCCTTTTTTTTTTTTTTTTAACCTCCCACTATCTCCCTGTGACACTACAGAGAACCAGGTAAGCCCCAAACCCTGATGTTCTCGCCTCGTTCTCTGTCTGCTTTTACACACAGAGATGACACACCCTGCCAGTGAGGGAAATTCCCCGTTCTTGAGTCCCCATTCCTAGAGGCTTGGGCCATGTCAGGGAATAGGGGTATCATATTTTGAAAGAACACAAGGAGGCCAAGGTTTTGTTTTGGGTTTTTTTGCTGAGGAAGATTCGCCCTGAGCTAACATCTGTGCCAATCTTCCTCTATTTTGTATGTGGTTCACCACCACAGCATGGCTGCTGACGAGTGGTATAGGTTTGTGCCTGGGAACCAAATCCACGCTGCCAAAGTGGAGCATGCTGAACCTAACCACTGGTCACAGGGTCAGCCCCCAAGGCCAAGGTTTTAATGCGGCCTTACTGGAGTGGACCTGAGATGGCCATGATGTCTGCTTCTGAGCTTACCTCACCTGCTCAGCCACAGAATAAACAGCTTCCAGGCTAGCCAAAAAAGGAATTGACTCCCAGCCCATACCCCAGCTGCAGAATCAGATCAGTCTTCAAAGAGGAAAGACTAGAGGAGTTGAACAAGGTGTTCACCAAACAGGGACACTTTGCACTTTCCAGCCCCTGTCCTTCCCTTTTTCCTGTTCTCATTTCCTTTGTGTGCTAAAAAACTAAAAAGACGTCTGGCCCCAATTTCTGGCAGCACCCTCTTGAAAGGTGAGTAAAGAGAGTGTCCTCTGTGCCCCTGTTCTCCACTTTTACACCAAGTGTAATCGATGAGCTTTAAGTAACTAGAATGGTAAAACCAGAGCGAGGGTTTAAATTCCCTTTTTCTTTCAACTACTAACAATTCTCCCTCACTGACTATCTCTTGGTCAAGGGCCCAGTGGCCCATGATTTGTGCCTGTCTCCTTTCTCAAATGGCCATTTGGTGACCAGATGGTAGGTATAGAAAGGAGATGGCATTTCTAAGTGGTTTGTCTGCCACAAAACTGTTTGCTGATCCTGATTAGCCATTGCTGCCCTAGCAGTGGTCTTACAAAAGGGTCACTGAGAACTGGAGCCCTGCTATAACTTCGGGCCAACGACAGATCACTGAGGGCAGGCAGTCCCTTTGGTTCAATAAATCTAGAAGCTTTTCTTTGGCATCCAAATTCTCCCTCCTCCTGTGGGAGTCAGGCTCTCAGAACCTGTGGCTATGTGGGAATTCCTCCCAATGGATGTAGATAGCTAGCTCGTGAGCTCCAGTCTAAAATTTTCTGTAGTCTCAGCAACACCTTGGGCATCTGCTTTCCCACCAAATAACTTTCTTTTGTGAGAAAGGCTACAGAAGGTCCTTAGACTATCTGGAAGCAGTACATTATTCTGTTGACTTTATTGTGGACTGCCCCCAGAGCAACCTCAAACTCCACTGACTTAGTCATAATACCTTAGGATCTTCTTTTTACTATTCCTTAGTGTACCAACTTCTACAGATCTTCCCTGTGTCCTGCCAGGAACTCCTGAGTTATGCTATCCGGGTCACCTGTTGCTCCTTTAGCATCTTAGACACATGTTAGATATTTTTTAACAGCTCTGTTAGAGAGTTTAATTAACATCCCATACAATTTGCTCACTTTAAACGTACAATTCAATGGGTTTTAGTGTATTCACAGAATTGTGCATCCATCACCACAATCAATTTCAGAACAGACACATGTTAGATTTTATATGGGAAAAGCCTTTAGCCCTTGAACTTAGGCTATGGTGGTTTGCACAAGCTACTGGGGGAGGACATGTGGGCTCAGGAGATAAACTATTTACATCCTATTTGGTTACCTGGAGTCCTAGAACACACAACTAACTCTCATCATGTAGGCACCACCTGCCTTTGGCTGGGAATACAAATGAAGATTGTGTTTTCAAGGACCAGGGGATTTCTTATGCCAACAAAACTTTTTTTTTGGTCTGACTTTACATTAAAGATAAGACTGACTATATTTATACAACAGAGACTTTGTAATGGATTTTTCAGCTTTGTGAAACCAAACTTTATCTCATCAAGACTGATTGGATATCCTTTTTACTCTGTACTCCAAGAGTAGTTTGTTAGGGGATGGGACTTGCATGTCATTCTTTTTTGTGTGAAATAAAAACATATCTTTCGAGTTGTTCTCCTTGAACATGGCTTGGGTCACTGGATGGGTGAGCGAGAAATGGTAAGTGTCTTTGACACTTACACTGAAGATGAGAAAGATTCTGGAACCCCAGAGTGACAGAAAAGAGCACACTCTGGAACAATACAGACCCAGGCTAGAAGCCTCTTACCACCTATTGAGGAATTAGCCAACAGCCAAAGGCTCAGTTTCCACAATAATAAAATGCAGCTAATGATACCTTACCTCCCAAGATCGGATGAGGATCAAAAGAGATAACACATAAGATCTTAGCATGTTAGTGCCCTTCCCTTCCAGTTCAGTTTTCTCTCAGGTGGCATTGAGGCCAGCAACACAACAATGTGTCCACAAATACAAGTAAAATTAGCTGCTTTGGGTGTGAGGTGGATGATAATAGACTAGGTGCAGATAAAATCCTAGGGAACATCAAGGACCGACCTTTTCCCAGAGTAGCTGGATCTTCCTGCTCCAGTCCTTCCTTCACTCTAGTTGAGGGCACTCGATCCCCTGCAAAGAATCCCCCTCAGCTGGTTGGTTGTGACTCACATCTGTTTTGACTGGGTGGTACCTGGGTTGTAAGGGTGGTTAAATGTTTTAAATATCACTCCTGCTTGTAGGATAAAGTCTAAACTCTTAAGTAGGACAGCAGGAAAGGAAACTCATGTTAATTTGGCTTCTCTATGTGTCAAGCCTGCACTAGGTAGTTTCACAGCATTGCCCACTAGTTCTCAGAACAGCCTTAAAGGTAGGTCCCAGCCCCATTACAGCAGATGGAGAAGCTGTGTCTCCAACAGATTCAGTAATGTGGTGTACAACAGTGAAGAGACGATGACATGGGAGCACGCAGTTCACTTACATGAATTCAGCCACATACTGTGCAGGGCCCCAGTGCATCAAACAAGCAACAGACCTGACCGAGCGTGAAACCGGGGGGGGGGGGGCACGCGGGGAAACGTGGGGATGATTTTAAGTTTCCCAATCACTGACAAAGTGAAACGCATTGTCAGGTGACCAGGCAAGAAGATACTAATGACTTGGTCTAAATCTTAAAGAAAGCATTTAATTAATCGAGAACCACAGAGCAACAATGGCTATTGAAGAGACAGGAAATTGATGTAGGGTTGCATATACAAAACTCTATGAATAAATGAAGAGCTATTCAAGGAGTATTTGGAATATAAACTAATTCCATTTTAGTGCTGAAATTAATAATCCCACATAAAGTGCAATTCCCTGTAAGATGTGGTGGGAGCGTGGTAGGAGAATTGACACCTCACTCCAGTTCTAACAGAGGGAGAGGCAGGATCAAAGCACCCCCAGGTCCTGGCAGCTTTCCCCTGACCCATGCTATTTTTAAACTGTTCTTCCTTGGTTGCCCAAGGACAGTAACATCAACTTCCTTTGTTACTATGCCTCTTATAGAAGGGTGTGGGCAGCTGCCAGCTTGAGCTTGCTTGTCAGTTCCTCCAGAAAGAGAAAGATAAATGCTACTGTACCGTGGGAACCTAGAAGGGTGCTGAACCCATCTGCGGTCGGGGCAAAGAGGGTATCAGAGAAGGCTTCCTGAAGGAAGGATGAATTAACCAGTTTGGAGGAACAGGGGAGGGAAAGGGAGTTCCACATAGAAGGAGCTTGTACAAAGGCACAGAGGCAAGGAGGGGGCTACAAGCAGCTAGGTATGCGGAGTGTGAGGAGAGAATGCCAAGACGTAAAGAGGGAAGACGCTAGAGAAGCTCTGGTAGGAGGGCAGACCACGAAGGGCTTTGC